TAAGCCCCTGGGAAAACAAAACTCCACCAGCTACCCAATATGAATTTACTGGTGGAGAAGGAAGAGCGGAGAGAGTACAGAAGGAAGATTCGGCTAACTGCTGGTCAGTTCCTAGCCTTGAGGCACGAACTTGCTTTTTGGGGATGTACTTTTCCATAGAGAAGTAGGCTATAGCTAGAGTAGATATTTGAGGGAAATAGATTCATATATTACATAAACACACAACATTATTTTAGGTGTGGCCTGGGAGACGGGGGGCCCAGCACGGTCTACAGGGTGCTGGCAGGTGGCTCAGTGGATAATGTACTTGCCATGAAGATCCAGGCTGTCATTTTGGGGTGGCCCATTTGTAGCACTACACTATTAATTTGGGGTGGGTGTTAATATAGTTCAATATTTAAATACAGTGGAAAATACTCAGTTTTTACCCAATGTCTACTGCTCATGCATTTCCTATGAAGAACAAGAGCCAAACAGCTTTCAAAACAGCACTTTCGACACCCATAGATGCTTGGTCACATGCATGCACAAGCTAGGCTGTCCCCGCAGGTCACCTCCAGGCTCTGCCCAGCACAAGACCACATCCTCTCTCCCCAGGAGGGAGAAAGACAGCAAGGATGCCTGCAGATTTGGGCCCTGGTCCTTCTGCACCCACAGTCTCCTTCCTGTGGCTAAGACCCAAGGGCACGCCCATGCCCCCAAGGCCTGTGGTAGACTTGGTGGTGAGCTGGCCTGATGACCCTCAAACCACAGTTCAGCTGTGGCATCACCATGGCTCCCAGGAGGCGTCATCAATGGTGAGGGTCACAGGTGACAGTCACTGCTTCCCTGGCATTGCTCCCAAGGGTCTGCATCCAGGCACGGAAGCACAGCCACCCTGAATTCATACTAAGGAAGTGGTGGAGGTGACCTACACTCTTGTCCTATTTTGGCACTTCTAGACGCATCTCGAACAACCCAACTTGGGGAAAGATGCTCACCTCGGCTCCATCTCCTTCCTGCTGGGGATTCACCTTCTCCAACGTCAGCTGTGTCTAAAATGAATGTGCACCCCAGGGCCACACTTTGAGGTTCTCAGATTACAGACCTTGTTGGGCCCTATGAATATACTTGGTGTTATCTAAATGTGCAAACCCATGAAAACACTTAATTTACCACCCAGGTCAATGACAGTAAAAGAATCATAGGAAAAATTGTGTAAAAACTATTTCTTTCCAGAATTTTCCACTTAATATTTTGGACTGGAGTTGAGCATAAGAACCTGAACTGAAGAACAAAAATCCAAAGATAAGGGAGGTGACTATAAACTTTTGGTTGTCCTGGAAACGGCACGTGAATTTGACTCTTGCCTCCCTCACATCTGTTTCCCAAGGGCAGCCAGAGCCACCTTCTCCAAAGATATCCAGGTCACTGCTGCAGAAACCCCCCCCCCCCATCACCTGCTACACTGACTTCCAGGTCACCTTCACCTGCTGTTCCCAATCCCCCCACCCCGAAATGCTCTCCCTTCAGTCCTTCCCACGGCAGTGCTCACCTCCCTGCTGCCCGCCAGTCCCTACCTGTGTGATGTCCCTCTCATCATCATTCAACCCCCTTAGACACTGGCATCTACACTGCATCTTTCCCCGAACATAACAAAAACACTTCAAGACAAGGCTTTCTTACCCCTTCACACACACAAAGCCCAGGACAGTGCCTGGTTCAGGCAGCAGGCAGCAAATATTTCGAGGTCTGGGCATGACCAGTGGGAGATCAGAGGCCAAGGACCACTGTGGAGGACGAAGTGGGGGGACAGGGAGAGCTGGAGAGGATGGAGATGGGATGGGGGAGGGACTCGGTTACTGGACCAGCTGCCATGTGCAGCCTGAACTGCCCAGGCACAATCTAGAGCTTCAGGGGGAGAGAGTAGATCCATGACACAGGACAAAGCAGGTCAGCATTTACAGATGACATGTCAAGGGCGGTTGGATGGGACCCACTGCACCCGGAATGTTACACATTTCCCATTTTGAGGAGACTTTTGTAAGCATCTTTAAGCACCAAAGTGGGAAAAGCAGATGAGCTCTCAGCCCAAGAAGGAACAGCCCCAAACAATGAAGAACATGCAGGAATGCAGCTCAGAAGAGGGGCACAAGGCAGGACACTTGGTCATGGGCCAAGTTTGGAGACACTGGGGTGTGGCGCTCCTTGGACCCAGGGGAGAGGCTGGGCAAACTTCCAAGGTCAATGTTTGCCTCTGTGCAGAGACTCATGTCTACTGTGCTCTGCTCACACTGCCAGTGTGTGCCAGTTCTGGGTTCACTGCCTCTGGCTTCAGGGAGTGAGACCCCTTTGAATGACAACCGAAAGGAGCCCAAACCCAGTCACCCTCCGGCAGATGGAAGCATGTCTTGAGTCTGTCTGTCTGCTTTAAACCCCAAACAACAGATCAAGAACCCCACACCACAGAGGAATGTATGCAAGGTTCTGGGTGCAGGGCCAGGTCTCTCGGGAGAATCCAAAGCCCTAGCAAACAAAAGCCAAACTGCACCCACATTTTCTGAGTTCGCCCCAGAGCACAGCAGGCCACACCAAGCAGAACTTTGGGAACAAAGCAAGCCAAGCACCAAACTGGCCAATGACACCTTGCTGCTTGGGGACACATGACTCAGGCCAGGGAGACAAAGTATAGATGGAGAAATCTGAATATAGTGTTTGAGGGACCAGCGCTGGGCTGCAGGACCAGACATGCTGTGGGCCACACCTAGAGGGCTGTGGACAGACAGAGGACAGAGACCGTGGGAATGGCTCCCCTCAAAGGGCACCTCCTGGTCTTAGATTTTTTTTTTTTTTAATGTCAACCAGGACAGTCAAGGCTCTGAAAAGTCCCACAACACCCTAACCTTTTCACCTTCTAAAACCACAGAATCTTCCTACAGAGGATTCCCCACCGAGATTGGAGATGGGAGGGGGGTCACAAGCATGGTGAAGGGGTACTGAAGAAAAGCTTCCTGCAGTGAAAGCCATCTGTGCCCAAATCTGTGTCTGAGAGCGGAATCATGTTGGGGGAGGGAAGCTCACCCCAACACACCTGTGAGCCTTCCTATAGATTCCCCATAGGACCCCCAAACCCAGCTGCTTCCTCTGTGGCACAAGTCATCCCTTCTGCACATCTGTGGCAAACACGGACGGCCACCTCTGACTCACTGAGGCATCTACCTGCAGGTTCCATAACTGAGGTGACTCGCGTTCATCTTTAACGCAAGATGATGGGGAGGGGGAGGGGACATCTCTGCTCCCAGAGACCAAATCAACCCATCCACGGAGGCTGCTGGGAAACACCCGCCCTGTTCAGACACTCATCCCTAAAGCACCTTGCCTCAATGGGGTCAGTCCCCTGCCTCCACATGAAGTGAGGCCAGGTACACACTGAGGATGGTGGGAGCTGCAGCTCTGTTGAGTGCTCTTTGCCAACAGCCCTCTTTGAATCAAGCAGCGAGACTGGCTCTCACTGGGATGTCTAATATTCACAGGTAGAGCGTACAGAAGTCCCTCACCACTGCACTCAACTCCCAAGCCCCATCAATTCACAAAGCATTGCTATTGAGTTGGTCTGCCCAGGCATGCGGGGCCACGCTTTAGTAAGTGTCCCAAAAGGTCGTTGCTTTGACTTTGGTTGATAGTTCCATCACACAAAGATAGATGCTGTCGGAAGTCTCAGAACACCCAGGTAGCCTGGCTGAACAAGAATTCAAAGACTCTGAGCAAACGCAGCATAATTTCCTATCACCCACAGGTCTCCATGGTAACCGTGGCAACTGTTCTAGGGCATCCTTCCTTGCTCCCTGTTGGGTTCCTGGGAGTTAACGGTCCCAAGTTATTGTGTTTTCAGGGGTTGCTTGAACATTCCTAATCTAAAAATCCAAAATGCTCTGAAATTCCAAACTTGAGGATCAAAATGATTCCCAGAAAATTTCAAATTCTCGATTTCTCCAGATTGCAAATTTGGGAGTTAGGGAGGCAGGAATGGTATCGCAGCATTACAGGGTGTCGCCAAATACAAACCACTCTTGTTCCTGGATGTTCTGGGTGTGGGACCCTCTACCCTGTGTCAGCTGCTACTGCCCATGAACTGGATGGAGCTGGAGCTGCAGGCAGGGAGCAACTCGCCACTTAGAGTTTCTTCCTCCACTTCAGAAACCTCCCTCCAAGATTTCTGATTTTCTGGAGCCTCACAGGGAAGAGAAGGCTACTCCACCTGCCCCACCCTCTCTGCCCTCGGGCACCCTTTGCTCATCTCAGGTGAGTGTGGCCTTCCTCTGAGACTAACCCCTGTCTCAGCTGCTCTGACAAGCCATGCCTCTGTCCAGGCCATGTGCCCACAAGCTGAGGGCACCTTCACACAAAGCCTTCTTCCACCCTCTCCCTGGCCCTGCCCCCCATCAGCTGAGCTCGCCCCAACGGAAACCCATTGCTGCCCCCCATCAATGGTCTCTGTGTCCCAGCAACACGTGCCAGAGCTGCCCGCAGCCCCCATTCATGCTCCGGATAGAGCCCCTTTCAAGGCTGTGCTCCCTGCTCACTCTGCACCCCGCCCCCACACACAGAAGAGGGCCATAAAGTGGGATTTTTCCTCCACGGGAAAGAAAGAAATCTTCCTTTCTGATTTCCTGCCGTTCATCTAAATCTGGCCCCGGAAAGAGTATGGAAGTGGTGGGACAGGCCCAGTTCATGACCTCAGGGGACACTCCAGTGGCCAGAACTCCCTTCATTGGCTTTTTCTACTGCAGCGGTTGGAGGGGACACCTATGACCGCCAGCACTCACCCCAAGCTCCTGCAGTGAGCTGGTAGGTGTGTGACAACACAGGTTATCTTATATCATCCCTCAGGTTAAAATGGAGATACTAAGGCCCAAGGAGGCAGCAGGGTAGACTGGGCTGTATGGGGGGGGGGGGGGGGTCCAGGATGGGGACATGGAGGGCTCCTTCCTCAGGGACACTGAGCAAGCACAGCTTCTTACCGTCATCCAGGTAGGTCTGGTCCAGGTTCTGTTCCTGTTTGACTGTCACTCCAGTGGGCATAGCGTCCTTCTGGTCACTGACTGGGGGTCCGTTTTTGGTAGCTCTGTGGTTCAGGGCAGTCTGTGGTTGGATGACTGTGGGGTAGGAGCCTGGGCTCAGCCTCTGGCCTTGGTTGATGGGAGGTGGGCCAGGCCTGGCTGAACCAGGGCCAAAGTTCTCACAGTACATGATATGCTGAAACTCCTGGTGCCCCCCGCCACGAAGCTGCTGGTTGGTGGGTGAGTAGTGAATCACGGGCGAGGCCTGCTGGGTAGCCGAGGATGTGTGTGGCAGGGTAGAGCCCTGGCTCTGGCCCTGAGAACTAGCATGCACCAGCACAGAGCGGTGGGCATCGGCCAGGCCCAAGGGTGCTGCCAGGAGGGCCGGCTGCTGGTAGCCCAGCAGGCCTGGACTCAGGCTCTTGCTCCTCTGGTAGAGAGCTGCTGCGGGGCTCTGCTGCTGGTAGCGGGCATCTGGGGATGACAGCCCCGAGCGGAACTGTTGGCAGGGGGCCATGGTAGCCACGAGACAGGAGGGGGACTCGGCCAGCATTGGGTGCTGTGGGTAATATGGCTGGCTCCCCAGGCTTCCATGGGCAGGGCTGCAGATCAGAGAAGGGTCATACTCATCGGGCTCCGTCTTGATGGCAGGGGCTGTGGAGAGAAAAGCGCAGGGCTGCAGCAATCATGGCAACCTGTGAGTGTGTGCCGAGGAGGAGGGGCACTTTGAGGAGCCCAGTGGGTGGAAGCATGGCTGGTGTGTGGCTCACTCGCCTTGGGCCACAAGATCCCCCCTGGAATTGTCATCAGGTGAAACTCGACCTTGGCAATGCCCTTGAACTGCAGACTTTGCCAGCTGTGGATGGGTGGAGGGTGGGCTCGACTGGGTGTTGGAGTCTGTGTAGCCTCGTTCCTCAAGGTGAGAGCTGAGAGGAAAAGGCTTGCTGTGACTCCCCCGCCTCTCGAGCCATCTGTCCCCATCATCTCCCTGCAGTGTCCCCTCCTACTGGACACTGTCCCACATAGTCAGCGATGTTCAGTTGTCACTGTCGACAGGGTCTAGAGTCACCTAGGAGACACTCCTCTGGGTATGTCTATAAAGGAGTTTCTCCATGGGGGTGCGTGTGAAGACCCACCCTGAATGAGGGCAGCAGCACCCCGTGGGCTGGGTTCCTAGACTGAAGAGTCTCCTGTTTCCTGGTTGTGATGCAGTGCGACCAGCCGCGTCCCTCTCCTGCTGTCCCCACCATGAAAGGCAGTACCCCTCTAAATGTCAGAATAAAACCTTCACCCCTTAAGTTGTGTTTGTCGGGTATTGTTCACAGCAAGGAGGAAAGCAGGCCACCCCCTCCCAGCATCCTCCCTTAGCATCACCAGGTTCAGGAGACAGGGACAGCTCCATGAACGGACAAGAGGACTGTCACCAAGGGTGAGTGGGGCAGCCTCCTCAGAGTCAGGGTTTGAGGAGACGACTATGTCCACAAATGCCATGCAAAGGCCAATGTCTCAGTTCTAGACAGCTAGAGACCTTAGGGTGGACCTTACTAGGGTTCCATTCCGCCAGCCGAGCACTGACACCCAGCCCAGGGAGGCCCTGCTACCGCAGATCGGGGGAGAACGTCGGAGCGTAGAGGCGACAGCCTTCTTGCTGAGAGGACTGCTCCACGTGCAGGGTTTGTGCGAGGTTCTCTCTCTGCAGCTTTGGGGCCCATGGGAAGCCACTTCTGCTGCCGACGGCACAGCACATCAGTCCCTGTGGTGCCTCCCTCATAGGGATCTCACAAGTCTACCATGCACCCTGCTGAAGCTGAGCTGCCCAATCAGGGACAGTGGGGTTTCAGAACCAGGACTGCAGGGTCCTTCCCTGGCCTGGAGTGGGGCAGGAGCGGGCTTTCCCCCAGCTGCTGTAGTTACTAGTTAACTACTGCTGTAGTTACCTAACCTACTGGCTACCTTGGAGTTGTAACTAGAGCCACTCTATGAGGTTAGTTCCGTTTCTGCAGAATTTCACGAATGAGACCTTCTGGTCTGGGTGTGCCTCTAGTAATCCCACCCATATGGGGACAGTTAAGGACTCAGAGTTCTAGAGCAAGTCCACTTTGACCCTGAATGTGGTCAAACCTAAGACAGGGGTGAACATAGGGGACAATGAGGAATACTGAGAATTCAAGAACAATTGCAGTGGGTTTTTGATCCTATTGCACGTACTGGCTTTGTGGGAGCCTAGGCAGTTTGGATGCTCACCTTATGAGACCTGGATAGAGGTGGGCAGTCCTTGGGCTTCCCACAGGTCAGGGAACCCTGATTGCTCTTCGAGCAGATGAGGGAGGGGGACTTGATCGGGGGAGGGGGAGGGAAATGGGAAGCGGTTGCGGGGACGAGGCAGAAATCCTTAATAAATAAATAAATTTAAATAAAAAAAAACAAAATAAGACAGGGAGGAACAGCAAGAGACACTTGCTTAGCTGTCTGCTTCCAAATGCCCGTACCTACCACCAAGGAAAACACGCATGACAATGGCAGCTGGCCCCTGGCACCAGTGGGCCACACAGGGAGCTACTCTCACAAGGAAGTGCCTTCCAACACAAGAGGAAACTGAGGCTCAGAGTGGGTGAGTCACTTTCCCCAGGTAGCCCAGCCGGGAGCAGACCTTGGGACTCCTGAGTCCCTGGCCAGTGCTGTCTGTGACCTTGAAGGGTGTCAGGGAGAATGCCTCACCTGGATGGTAGGTAAAGTGTTGTGGCTGACTTCGTTTTCTCTTTCCGTTGATGACGTAGAAGTTCACTTTTACGGGTACTCGGATGTGCTTGTTCCGATACTCGGGGATCTCAACGAAAAGCATGTTCTAGAAGGAAGCAGTTGTCATGAACTTGACTGTAAACAGCACGCCACTATTCCTGCCAGGATCCCAATCAAGTCCACCCAGGCCCATCATGGCAGGCCCTCTGGCTTTGTTCCCCACATCTACAGCGAAGGGAATTTAACTTTTCATCCCAGCAAGGAAAGCTGGTCTAGCAAAGTGTGTCAGATGTCACGGTCAGAAACCAAAGGGCCTGGGGCTTCGTAAGTGGCAAGCACTCATTAAGTGTAGCTTGTACTTGTGAGTAACTGTGATGTTCAGTGTGGGGAGGAGGGAGGGAGGATGGAGGATGGAGGGAGGAAGGAGGGAGGAGGGAGAGAGGAGGGAGGGAGGAGGGAGGGACAGATGGAGGAGGAAAGGATAGAAAGGGGAGAGGGAGAAAAGAAAAAGAAGGAAAGGAAGAAGAGAAGAAAGGGAAAGAGGGAGGAAGGAAGGGAGGAATAGAGAAGAGGGAGGAAGGAGGGAAGAAGAAGAGGATGGGGGAAGGGGGAGCAGGGTACAGAAACCTCAGCAGGGACTCTGAGCTCTTGGGGCCATTTTGGGGGCTTACAGGCTGGCTCTTGTCTTTATCCACCGTGGCTTCCATCTCCCAAACCTGCTGCCCATCTGGAAAACACAAAAAACAACAGTCTTTGAAGGACCCAGAAGCCAACGACGTAAGACAGAGCTGACAAATCACATTCTCCATTGCATCACTGTAGTGAGGTGTGTCGGTGTGCCCGTGTGCCTGTGATGGGGGACAGGGAGGGAGGGAGGGAGGGAGGGAGGGAGGGAGGGAATGTATGTGTGTGAGAAAGAACATGTAGATATGAGACAGAGTTGTGTGTGAAAGAAGAGTTGTATGTAAGAGTGTGTGCATATGAGACTGTGTGTGAGAAAGTGTGTGTGTGTGCGCGCGTGTGAGTTATGTGTGTCTGAGAGAGCTGTGTGTGTGTCCAGATAGTCAAATAGTTCTCTTTGCAGGAGAGAGACATGGTGCCAGTAGGAAATTCAGGATTAAAAGAGCAAAGACTTGGAGGAACCGCAGACTCCGCCACCGTGATCTCTTTCCATCCAAACGCCCATTTCCCTTTCTTAAAATAAAATCAGTGTTCTCCCAGGCACCTGGTCACATTTGTCTATTTCCAGAAGGTCCTCAAGCCCAAGGCTGTCTCGGGAGCCTCGTGATGGTCCTGGCTTGTTACCAGCGTCCCCTCATCAGAGCACAGATGGTTTAGCTATCCCACTCTTAATCGGGACAGAACAGGTGGCCCAAGCGTGCCTGACTCATGGGTCATCAGGAGGCGAGGGAACCCCTTAGCCCACTCCATGCTACCATGTGAGTCACCATTGCAGTGAGAGGGCTCTGTTCAGCAGTGGCCTCTCCTTCTCAGGGGCAGAGGGCCCTTCATTCCCCTAATCTGAGGCCAGCAAACGGGGCCAAACAAAACTCTTGATTTTCAAATTATAGATTTCTCCCCTGACCACCTACACTGAAGCTGGGCAGTTCTCACTGAAACAAAACATTTCCGTGAGGGTTTCCAGGGTGTTTGTGGAGCACGAATGCTGAAGAATATTAAATGGTTTTATGAGAAAGGGAACATTCTCGAAGCTAGCACATGGTTGGAAAATGCTGAGTCAAAGTCCACTGGGTTCTTGACTCGGCAGAGGCTCCAGCATGCTCAGCACAGTGGGCTGCGCGACAGAGCACAGACCAACATCTGGCCTCAGAGCCCTGTCTCTTCCTGGAGCAGAGCTGCTAGTGTCTGCTGTAATCACTTAGGACCCCCAATTCTGAGGGTTAGCCAGAGAGACGTGGGCCATGAGCAGCATTTGAACTTACTCGCCTAGGAGTATGCCTCTTCCAAAGTAAAATCCAATATAACAAAACTCCTGTAACTGCTACAAAGTGGGTGTGACTGGAGGTTCTCACGGCAAAGGAAAAGAGGGAGTTCTTGGTGACAGCCAGTTCGGTCCTGGCTTTGTGGTTCAATGGTATGCAAGTTTGAACGTGGACTCTAGCAGGCCCATGAAAGGCAGGGTATGGCCACACGTGTGCCTGTCTCCCCAGTGCTGTAGGAGTGAATACAGGAGGGTCTCTGAGGGTCACTAGCCACCAGCCTAGCTCTAGGTTCAGTGAGAGACCCTAGCTCAAAACAGTAAGGTGAAATGTGATGAGCAGGACACCCAAAGTTCTCCTCTGCTGCTACGATGGTACACACAGGCATGTGTGCATGTGTGTGCGTGCACACACACATACACGCATACACGTGTATATACTCCACACTCCCAAAGTGAGATGCAAAGTGATAGAGGAGGACACCCAACATCAGACTCTGGGGATATGGAACACCCTTCTGTAAGCCAACAGCCAAGAAGAATATAGCTAGGTGGGAAACCCAAGCAAAAAGACAGGAGAAAGAAGGCAGAGTCAGAGAGATGCCAGCAGCCACTGGGGAAGCAAGATATGAGGCAACAAGTCACAAGTCTCATGGCAAAATATAGAATAGAAATGGGTTAAATTAAATTAAGTTCTAAGAGCTAGTTAATAATAAGCCTGGGCTAATAGGCCAGACAGTTTATAATTAATACAGTATGCGCTCACACATATGTGCTCACACATACACACACATGTGTATGCCACACACCCAAAGTAAGGTGGAGGACAATAGAGGAGGACACCCAACATCAACCTCTGACTTCTACATGTACACACACAGATGCAGGTGCTCACAAACAGGCACAGGCACACACACACACACACACACACACACACGCCACATACACACAGAGATAACAGAGGGAGGCGAGTACAGACATTCTTCCTGGTCTTAGATCCCTATGGAAGAGACCAGGTGACGTAGTCTTGGCTGTCTATCGACCATATTGTAAGAAAAAACAAAGAGCCATATGGGATATACAAAAAATGTCATCAGCTGGAATGACTGCCAAGGGCCAGAAGAAACCACTCCAGAGGCAGGAGAAATGGTGGCCAAAGGGACACCAAAGGCACCTGGCTGGAAGCCATCAACACACAGGCTCCACAGTGTGCAAAGAGCCAGACAGGACTAGCCCAGGGTTATCCTGTTTTTATGTCAAAGATCGACCCAAGGTCATTGACAGAGACCCAGGCTGCATAGCCAGGCTCTGTGGGTTCCAACCTTGCTCAGTGACTGCAGCCTGAATGCTGAGCTAGAAGCCCATGTGGGAAGCAGTAAGGGGGTCCCCCTCTTGCCCAGCTTCTCACTGCCTGAGCTTAATTCCATATGAGCTCACTGCTTGGAGAAGGATGTGAGAGGATGAGGCAGTAGCCAGCCGGGCTACAGAGTGACTCTCAAGAAACAGACAAAAAAGACAGAGGGGGAAGGAAGAAGCAAGTGGGGCGGACCCAGTTTCCGAGCCCATCCTTTAGAGGTGCAGACAGAATTCCTTGAAGAACTGTCAAGAAGTTGAACTAACCCTTGATATTGTGGCACAAGAAATCCTGACATGCAGAAGAGCAATGTTCACGACAGGGTATCTCATAGGCTATGTCAGATATGGTTTTTGGGTCTATAGACCCAGGAGAAAAGGGCAGAGCCCTCCCTACCCCTTGCCGATGGGCATGACTACCCAAGGAGGCAACTGCCAATAGGAGCTTGAGTACAGTCTAGAAGTGAGTCAGCTCAGCACCACCAGAAGGGGAACTAAGGCCCAGAGGAAGTTTGTGAAAAGACACAGCTATTGAACCACAGCCTCCAAATGACAGTCAAGCCCAAGCAAACAGCAAGGGAGAGGCTCCCAGAGAACCAACAGAGGAAAGTGGCCAGCTCTGAGACACTGAGAAGGGACATTTGTAGGCAGGACCTTGCAGTCACCCCTGCTGCAATGACAGATTCGCCAGCCCTCCTCAAGTCCTTCCTGCCTCCTGTGCCCAGTGACATTGCCACAGCTCTGTCATGGCCCTCAAGGTCCTGTCTATTCCAGTTCCCGCCTTGCTACTCAGGGCACCATTATTAACTAAATCTTAATGCCTGCCCTGGTCCCAGTATCCTTTGTCCCTCAGACTTCAACCTGTTCCTACATATGCTGCCCCAAAGCATGTCTGGCCTTTACCCCACTAGCTGAGTTGAGTCCCAGTCAGAGAGGGGAGAACTGGTAGGATCGGGCATCTAGACTGGGCACACTTAAGTGGCATCTCACCCCCCAGAGCTTAGGTGTCCACTCCTATCCTTAAGACTTGGGTTTCCTGTCTTAAGGGTTTCCTTGCTGCTATGCAAGGCTGGGCCCCCTGGAGCTGGCAGATGAGGGCTGTGGGACAACGAGGGTATAGGAGGAAATGCCCGCCCACTCCAGTGCACTGGCAGAGCTGTGCGGCATACTCCCTAGAACCCTCTTTGGAAATGCCCTGCAACAGTGCCAGCATCTCCTCTCTGTCCCCGGCAGCATTCAGCCCTTTTATCCCAAACTTCACAACTTCAGACCTGGCCTGAAATCTTTGCTTGCCCCAATTAGCTGTGCAGCCTTGGATAAGATGGTAAGTCTCTGTCTCCAATTTAAAACACAAGGGTTCTAGGCCATGTACATCTCCTAGTGAGCATACAGATCAAAGTATCAGGCTCCAGCACTGTGTACGCACATGGGAGATGTTCACAGGAGCTCTTATGCTGGCATATATATATATTATTTGAACATGGGCACATATCTCAACATGAGTTAAAACTGAAAATGCACACATTTTAAAGTCAGAGCTTATCAAGAATTTTCTGTTTGCAATGATAAATATATCTACCTGCAAGGCTTGGCTGGAATCTACACTGGGGTGGTGTCTCTTACATGAGACGGCAACATGACTCCCTGATGCCTTGAAGAATGGGTCTTTTTAGAGGATTGGAGAGACAACTCAGGGGTTGGGAGTACTTGCTGCTCTTGCAGAGGACCCAGGTTCCATTCCCAGCACTCACAGGGTGACTCACAACTGCCTGTGACTCCAGTTCCAGGGGACCCAACACCCTCTTCTGGCCTCTGTGAGTACTGCACACACTTGGCATGTATACACATACATAATTTAAAGATAAATATTTAATATATATAATATTTTAATGGATCTTTTCAAGCTGGGTGCCATGGCACACACCTGTAGTCTCAACCTTTGGGAAGCTGAGGTGGGAGGATGTGAGGGGAGGGCAAGGGAGGAGGGAAATGAGAAAGAGGAATGGGGAGGAAGACAAAGAAGAAAGAGGCTAGGTGCAAATGAAGACGCACCCAGCAATGACCAAAGCCAACTGAGTCAGGTTCTCTGTTCTGTCTTTTGATTCTTGTGTGCTCACTCACAGAGCCCACACTATTCGTGGCAGAATAGCTTTCAGTGGGAAGTAAAAACTGGCCACAGCCATCTTCTCTACTGAGCCCCATCACCCTGAAGGCTCACTCAGAGGCTGGGCTCAAGAGGGTGTGGTCTGCTATGGGTCTCTGGGCCACACTTTTGAGCAACCCTTGTTTCTTGTACCCACACTAACAGGCACACACGTCCTTGGGGTCATGGGGGAGGTGATGTTCTGAGTGTGGCTGAGGACTGCTGTCTTGAGGCACCGTCTTCAAAATTAACCCCAGAGACTTCCCTAAGGCTCACCTCACTCTGACCAGGT